GGGTTGGGGGTTGGTGAGAATTCCCGAGGTTGTGTCCCCTCCCCCGTGTCTTGCGGAAGAGGCGCATCGAGGTGGGCTCAGGCCCTGCTCTGGAACTTCGTGCTTCTGTCCTGGGCTGCCTGCTGCCAGTTTTCAGGTCATGATGGGGACTTCTCCCCTTCCTGTGTCTGTGTGTGGGTTTGGTTTTTGGAAATGAGGTTGTTTTTTGTTTCATTCGTTTCACGACTTTTGATCCGTATGGCTAGGTGTTGGGGAGAGAAATTCCCTCAAGCACTTCCGTCCCGTTTTGACCAGTGAGGACACCAGTGAGGGTCAGAAGGGGGCTCGCCCGGCTCGTGGGCCTTTGGTCCTTCCTTTCCTCTCGTACTGGCCGCGCGTATTCGAACTGAAATTCCTCTACGCTTAAAACATATATAATGAATTTAAACACGGTAGTACTGAAGAGAATGTTGACTATAGTGTCTCACCCTTATCGGTAAACCTCAGCGAATGCAGGTATGAATCCTAGCGTTTCCTTTCTCTTGTTCGACGTCTGTCTCACAGGTCAGAAGAGAGATAGGAAGTCAGGCCAGTGAACCTCTTCTGCTTCTCACAGGCCTTTATAAGCTTTACTTTTAAAATATGCGGGTATTTTAAACTCTTTGCATGGTCTTGGCCTTTTTCCATTACAGAGGTCATACAAGGAAGTTCACTTTTATTTGGAAGTGCTTACTTGTAAATATCTGTGTTTAATTCATGCCAGGACCTGATTTACACGTAAAGTAAAGCAAAATAAAGGGAGATGCACTCCCTTACACTTTTGCAATTTACAAACAACTATCATAACTTTCTTAGGCGTTTTGGGGGCTTTTGAATGGACAGCATTGACACTGTGGCCAGCAGCAGTGCTGAGAGCTGCCAGAGGTGTGGCTCCGGCAGTGACTGCTCTCCCCGGACCTCACTCGTCAGCCGTGCAGTGGTCAGCCTTCCTTCCGGTTGAGAGTGACTTGCACCACGGGTCTCAGGATCTGATCCAAGGAAGGTGTACAGTTGCTCAGCGAAGCTGCTTGAACTCTCACTGTATTTTTAATCTATTTGCAGATTATGTGCACCATACTCGTAACCTAAAGTTCATTCTTCAGAAAGAGTCTGTGTGTCTGAGATTGAAACACATGTAGACACTTGGTGCACTCCTGTGGGGAGGTGTGCATTTCCCCTCCAGCTTCTCACCGCGGGGTCCCGTGCAAAGGGCACACCGACCTTGTTTCCATGCTTTCACTTCCTGTTACCAAAACATTCCTCCGACCGTTATTTTGGGTTTTGCCAGTTTCACTACTTAATAGTTTATTTTACTCAGTGCACCATCAAAATACTGACATAGAGTCTTTCCGGCTGTGCTTATGTGCTCAAAAAGAATGATGAGTGCAAATTTCTCTTATTCTTATGTCCTTTAGTCACTGATTTGTGCTTGAAATAAAGTTGTCTCCATTGTGGGAGCCCCTGAGTTTTACAGGGGAATTTAACTATTTTAAAGGCCACAGCTTAATGTTATTGTATGATTTTTGTTTCTGTCCAAGCTTCCCTAATTACAAATGTAAGTGATTTACACATTGGAAAGCATTTTTACACATTGTTTTGTTCAGTGCAGCTTTCAGTTTTCACAGTTACAGACTTTACAGGGACTCTCTTTCATACACCTTTGTAAATACGTCTCTGTCAGAGTCAAAGGATTTACACACTTAAGTCTTTTCATACGAATTTGGCAAATTCCAGTTATTTCATTGCATCAGTACTGAGTTGAATATTTTTACTGCTTTTGTTCTGTTGTGAGTTGCTTGCTTGCACCCTTTGCTCATTTCTAAAAATATTAGGTCCATCTTTTTCTTAGTGATTTATAGGAGCTCTTTTTATAGTAAAATATCACTTCTTCGGGCAAATATATTACGAGGAGATTTCTGCCCCCAACTCCCGCCCCACCAAGTTTGGCATTTCCCTTTTGTTTTGCTTTTTAGATCTTTCGCCTTTTAATTTGTTCTCATTTCTTTTACATAGACATTTAAAGTTTTTTACTTTATAAAATTTTTCAATCTTTTATGAATCTTTCCCATTTTTGCTTTTATGCTTTAAAAAGTTTTTTCCTATTCAGCGATTATGTAGGTTGTCATTAGCACATAAATGAAATTCTTAAACTTAGGGTTTTTAAAAAATTACTACCCCAACAGAATTTCTTATTGCTAAGTATTTAAACAGCCTCCTCTTACGGACTTTCTTCTAGATTCCGCTTAATGGAAGTTTGACACCAGGGGAAATGGTCTTACCTTCGGTTTGCATCATTCAACAAGAGCCAGTAGTATTTTTAATTCTTCAAGTGATGGTACTTTTCCCCATAGTTTAGGAGGGGAAAGAATGAACACCCAATTCAGGGTTGGTGAGCCCCGTCCGCAGGCGCGCTGGCCCCTCACCGCGGACCCGCCTGTCTCGCAGGGTTCCTGCAGCCCTTCCTGCAGGTGTGCAGCTGCTCCCTCTTCTTCCGAACCTGCTCGGTGCTGCTCCGGGGCCCGAAGCTTGACGTCCACATCCTAGAGAAGCTCAGCATCATCCTGCAGAAACTGTCCAAAATCAAGTAAGAATTTCGTATTTCTAATATTTTTTGTTCGGACGTATCTCACTGTGATCATTTAGATGTTTCCGAATCCTGTAGTGGCTCAACTGTGATGAGTAAATCAAAGTTTCCAATAAATGTGTAGAATATTAACACTGATCCAAGACCACACGCTTAGGGACAGAGTGAACCCTCGAACAGCTTCCTGCACACTGGTATTCTGTGATGCAACAGGTGAAAATAAGGGAGAGAATAAAAAAATATATTTTGTAGATCCTTATTATTGACTGCAGTGAGTTTAGGGAAGAGAATGAATCAGGCAGAAAAGATTTTAAATGATGCTGGTAGCAAACTCTTATGGGCATGCTACTGCCACTAGTTTGGTTTTATTGCAAGAATTGAGGGCTTTCTTTTCATATTTCTTCTTTCCCCAGTGCACACATCAGTATAACCAGTTTATAAATTATAAAAAAAGGACATAGGCTTTAAGCCGTGTTTTCCTGGAGTCTTGTATACGCCAGTGTTTCCCTTGAGGCACCTCTGAGCACCTTCTGTCCGTTGCGTTTTTATGACGGTGCAGCGCTGGGCTGGTTCAGCTCCTCTGCCCGCCCCACCCCCGGCCCCTCGCCTGTGACCTCCATGGCAGCGAACCTGGGTGTCTCGCCAGGCCTCAGCATGCAGGGGTGGTGAATACAACGCATCCTGAAATTCCTTGTGGCTGTGTGACCGCAGGTCCATCTCTTCTGTTTTGTGTCGCACACCGTACCGCACTGTAGGGAATTATTAATTGTCAGGTTGTAACCTCATACGCAACTCACCAACTTATTAGTTTAGCTCTGGTATCAGCTAAACTTGTCAGTTCATTGTCTTCCTTTGCCTGCAGGCTGACTGGCTGTGATTGTCTCGATTTGTAATCAGTAAATTCTCGAGGAGGCGTGTTGCCGTTTACCCTCTGTGGCGGCACAAGGCTGCAGTGGCATCACTTAGGTTTAACTCCTTCTCAGCTCTTAATCCCTGGGCTTTGTTAAGTAGTGCGCAGTGCAGCCGTGTCCTTGGGCCCGAGTGCTTTACGGCTGGCAGTGTGTTTTGCAGTTCGTGTTCATTTCAGACGTAGATGAAGAGCTAGAACGAAGCTTGAATGAGGAGCTGGGAGTAGCTGACGCCCAAGCGAGTCTTAGGGTAAATCTGTAAACCCTTCTGTATCGGGTGGTGGTCACGAGGGTCCAGGGTTACTGGAGAGGCAAACAGGTAGATGTACTCAAGGAAATGGGAAATATGCTACCAGGTGTCATTCTCACTGATCGAAAGTGAAGTTACTGACTGGTTACTATACAGAGGATGGTTGCAAAGGTATTTTGGAGCCAAGTCAAGAGGCCAAGTAATATTCTGCTACATTAGAAAGCCCAGCTTACTTAAAATAAGGGGGTCAAGTATTCCACTCTCTCCAGCTGTGAGGGAAAAGTCCGCTCTAGTAGTGAATAGGGTGCACGTTTCAGGATGGTAAAGCATTCTCTTTTCTCCTTGAATACTTTTCCACTTTAGGCCCATTTCATACAAGCTGTTTTGTTTGTCTTGGCATGTTAATCCTTTAGTTACCTATTTCCTCCGTTATTTTTAAAGACAGGTGCCATTTCCCCACATTTACACATAACGTATCTCTCACTGTTCCTAAGTGTGTGTAACTAAATTAATGTGCTCATTCTCTTACAGGAGTAATAAGAAGCTCTTTGAACTCTTTACAGTTCATCTGAGGCTTCAAGAAATACAAAGGACGACACATCCAGAGCATGCATTTCTCTGTATTAACCTGAATTCAACTCTGTTCAATTTGGGTTTAACAAAATGCAACTCCCTGGCCGCCAGTACAAACCCTTAGGCTGGCTCATTATTATTTATAGGTATTACCTATGTGTTGCTACTTGTAAGATTGTAAAAGTCACCAAAGTAACGACCAAGTAAAGTTATGAGTAGCATCATTTATCATGAAAAATGGAAAAATTTTTTAACCTTAAAATGGAACCTGCAGGCGCTGTGGAATGTGGATTTTTTCCATTCAGCTAAGGTGGTACTAATGCACACGATGGAATTTTCAGGGTTAATGAGCCTGGAGTTACATTTTGTAGAAACGTTTTAGGAAAATTCTTTGGAATAAATTGGCGTTCATGTGGGAACAAGGTTAGAGCGTGTCACCGTTCTCTTTTCTTAATATGTTAAAAGTCCCCCTTCTAGAAGCGTATGTACACACACTTTAGCTGCCATAGTTCCCGCACCCAGAGAGCTCTCTTGCCATCAAAGGTGAGTGACGTAGCCAGAGGTCTGGGTAGAGCTCGGGGCGTAGGACAGAAAACTGATACACAGAAGAAACCATCCTGAAGACTCACGGAGATTATCCTCTATCAGCATTTAATCTGGAAGGAAGTCTCAGGAAACTTGGGCCCCTTCAAAAGAATGACTGTGCTGTTTGTTTGTGAAGCAGAAACAGAAATCCATAAAGCGCTGGCTAATGTGATGGTGAGGCTTACAGGCACTTAAAAATGCAGAAGCGACAGTGAACGCGAGAAACAAACCCATCACCAGTGCTTGAGGAGGCGGAGCCAGTGCCGGGAGGGGGCGGCGGGCGCACGGCGGCAGGGCTGGCGCTTCCTTCCGAAGGGGCCGTGGGGCACAGGCCGAGCAGAGGCCGCGCTGAGAGCCGGAGTCGAGTGGGGACTGAAGGCCCGTGAGCGGCACGCCAGGCGTGATGGGCCGCCACCTGCAGGAGGAGAAAAGCAAGCCAGCTCCTGCGGTGCCAGAGGTCTCGGGAGGACTCACACCTAGTGAACATGCCTGGCGTCGGTGTTTTCAGATTTGCAGGTGTTCAGAAGTTATCCACTTACGTACCATTCCTGAGAAAAGAAACTGCACAGATTATTCTAACCAACTTAAAATTGAGTTTATTAACTCAACCTCGTACCAAAAGACTGTAGTGGGCTCTGGAACCACTGAAACATAAATAGGTTAAAAGATTTGTTGTTGTAATTTGTGTATAAAATGGAGTGAAATGTTAAATTCCTCAAAAGGGTAAATAATGGGGAAAGCAATAGTTAAGAGTGTTTGGATGAGACTCCTCTGTTAATCGATGTCAGAAACAGAATTACCGGGGGCCCTGGGGTCTAGGTGGAGACGGGGAGCTCTAGTGAACGGGAGCAGCTTTCTGCATTTTCACCGTCCATCTCAGTATTGACTTTGACAGAATGAGGGATAAAGAAGGCTTTCGGAAAATGTCAGAGTAACCACTATTAAAAGCAGTAAGAGATTGCTTTTAACTGAAAACTAAAATACGTATACAGACATGGCAAAACACAGAAAGCCAAGAACATGTGAAGAATAAAAATATATATTTAGGATAAGTAAGGGAGGTTTTTAAAATTACAAATAAATTCCGTATTGCCCTATGTTGATAAATTTGAAAATCTGGATGGAATGGACTGTTTTCTAGAAAAAGACAAACTTTCAGAATTGCCTCAAGAAACCTGCAATAGAAAATCATTAAAGTCTTATAAAAGCGTGAAAATTAATTTTTAAAATGACATTAATTCCAGATGTTTTGCAGGTGAATTGTTTTAACATTTCAAAGAGGAAACACTTAAAGCTATTTAAACTGGCCCAGAATGTAGGAAAAAACATTCATTTTATACAGATAGCATGAACCCAGTACCAAAAATTGTCAAAGAAAGTAAGAATAAAAGGTTCAAAAGTTTCAAAGAAATATGAACAAATCAACACCAACCGTATGTTACAGGAACATTAATCCACGACCAACTAGGGTAGCATGCATTCCAGAAATACCAGGTTGGCTTTCTGGTAAAAAATATATATAGTTTGCTGTATTAGCTGAGCAATGGTAGAAAGCCATACACTCAATAAATGCCTAAAAATATTATAATTCAACTTAGATTCCTGATAAAACTTACTACAGTAGGTTTAAAGGGCCGTGAAATCAGCAAAGTTACTGTGAAACACTGGACACGTGCCTGTTAAAAGTCCTGTGACACACGGTGGATGTTCAGGAATGCTAATGTGAGGAAGGCCTGGCACCTCCTGCAGCTCCACTTCCTTCTTTCTCACTTGAACTTTAGTTTCCCTGATTCAGAATCACAGACTAACCTCTTATTTGCAGAACAGAAACAGGCCTGGGGGGGGGACGAAAATGGCCCACGGTGGCACGAGCAGACCAGGTCCCCAGACCCTGAGCCCAGGCGCTCCGTGGCTGCAGGCCTCACGTTCCGTGACGGGCTCGGCTCGGACGGCGCCACGAGGAAACCTGGGGTTACGTGGCTGGCCTCTCAGGAAGTCGTGACTTCCTCTTCCAAGCAGAGCCGACCACTTGTTTCTGTCTGAAGCCAGTGGCCTGTGTCCCTGAGCACTGCTGCCCGCAGAGGGTGCCACCCGAGTGCGGGTGAGAGCGGGAAGCGGTGCAGGGATCCTGGCCCCCAGGCTGGACTCACGCAGCGGCGAGGTCGGCTGTGGCGGCCCTTGACCAGACGCCCTGCGGACCAACGCGTGGGGCAAGTGGCAGGGGGCTTCTGTGTGGCCGGAAGGGCTGCAGGGAGACGGTGACCCCAGGGGCCACGTGGGTGGTTCAGACCCACGCTGAGCCTGGAGCAGGAGGGCGTGGCGCGGGGCCTGCCTCTTGCAGCTTTCTCAGCCTTAGAGCTGTGTTCCTCGTGGCGACGCCCGCCCACCTGCTTCATCTCCCAGAGGAAGCGCTCCCCCGCTCGGGTTCTGTGCCGTCTTCCAGGCGAACATCTGTCTCTCCCGGGCTGTGAAGTCCCCGCAGCCAGGGACCAGAGGCTTCACGTCTGTCCTCCCGGCACTGCTGGTGCACACGGGTGGCGCCGACCGTGTCCGCGGAGCAGGGAGTGGCAGGCGGGCCGCTCGGATGCGCACAGACTTCGCTGGGGCTGGCGAGGCCGGCGGGCCGGCACGTCCACGTGGATTTCTGTCTTTGGTTAGACCGGGAGACGGGCCTGTTTCCTCCCGTTCCTCGGACCAGCAAGGCATCCCTGGTGCACAGGAGGCAGCCCAGCCACAGGGTCCGCGGGCCCCGCTCAGGACGTGGGGGGCGGCGGGGCGGCGGGTGGCGGGATCCCCGCCCACTCCAGGATGTCTGCGCACAGGGACTCCACGGCGTCCAGCCGCTCGATCTGCACCAGCTTGGTGAGCAGCTCCGGAATGCTGTAGCCGGCCGTGCTGATGCGGTCAAAGAGCTGCAGGCCATCCGTCATGCCCCCGATCTCGTCCCGCTTGAGCCCGAAGCTCTCGGCCAGGTGGCGCCACGTCTTCACCACGGCCTTCTCTGAGCTGTACGTGGCGCTGAGCATCCGGCTGGCTTTCTCCAGGCAGTCGAACGGCAGCTCCGTGGGGCTGAGGCCTGCGCGACAAAGGGCCACGGTCAGAGACCGGCAGAAGCGCGGCACCTTCGAAAAGGCTTTCTAGGCTCTTTTTTAAAACTGTAAAATAAAACACAAGTGCAGAAAACCACACAGAATATATGCTTAAGGCGAACAACTCCTGGGACACTGCCAGCCACACGCGAAGCCCCTCCATTCCCCTGATCCAAGCAGCCCTCTAGGACACGGTGGGCCATCACCAACGCCTTTGATACGGGCCACCCTTAGTCAGGTGCCCCTGCCAGTATCAGATCCCTTTATGGGGACCAAGGTCACCTTCATGAAAGGTGCTCCAAGGACAGCCTGGCGTGGGTGTCATCTGAGCCAAGTCACTGCCAAGTCAGTGGCCTAGTGTCCCTCAGACCCCACTGTACGTCAGACTCGGCCGGGGGCACTTAAAAAAGAACGTGTTTCCACTTCTGGAAGATGCAGTAAACATGCTCTTCCCTCTTCCTCCTGGTAGCACAGCTAAAGACCCGGGACACACCCACAAGCACAGACAAAACGCCCGTCAAAAGCCTGCTCTCTCAGCAAGAAGAAAACACTCAGACAGTGACTGCCCTCTTACAGCCAGACACACACAACAGCCCCGGTCCCACTCCCTCCAAGGCCAGCAAAGCTGAGTGGGAGCCTGGGCGTCCACCCCCAGGAGGCCGTAGCACCAGGTGTGTCGGCAGGGCCAGGTGGGGACAGGGGCTTCCTCCTCACCAGCTGGTGACAAGCCTCCCCGCCC